GCCTGGCTATTTTTTGGTTGCAGCTGTCATTGTTGTTTGGTGGGCCTGGGCTGGATTCGAACCCGCCACCTTCGGTGTATGTGGCTGGCGCCTTAGCCACTTGAGCCACAGGTGCCAAGCCTATAATTTCTATATACACACGGGTCAGTAGGTGCCAAAAAGTTAAAAGTGACCATCTCTAAATAATATTGAAATATTTTTGTTTTTATTCTTTGTCTTTTTTGAGTTTTCTACCATAAACATTTTTGACTTTTATAGATACAGAAAAGCTGTAAAGTCTGGTGGTCTGGCAGGCTTGGAGCTATGGCTAAACATCATCCAGATTTGATCTTTTGCCACAAGCAAGCTGGTGTTGCCATTGGAAGACTATGTGAAAAATGTGATGGCAAGTGTGTAATCTGTGACTCCTACGTGCGTCCCTGCACCCTGGTGCGCATATGTGATGAGTGTAACTATGGCTCTTACCAGGGGCGCTGTGTGATCTATGGGGGCCCTGGAGTCTCTGATGCTTATTATTGTAAGGAATGCACCATCCAGGAGAAAGATAGAGATGGCTGCCCCAAAATTGTCAACTTGGGGAGCTCTAAGACAGACCTCTTCTATGAATGCAAAAAGTATGGCTTCAAGAAAAGGTGATTGGTGGGTGCCCCCTTCATCCCCATATCAAGCTGCTGCAGCTGCCAAGAAAGATGCCCACTACCACCAGCAGAGAGGGAGCAGAGCCCAGAGCATCGCCAGAATTGCCTGCTAGGGTCCCGGCACCTTGACATCCCTTCTTTTCCCCTCATCCAGACTTGTTAGGAATGGAAAAGGATTCTCCATAGACCACCCTGGCAGACTATGTAAGGGAAAAATAGATTGTTTTTTCTTGAATTTGGGAAGCAAGGCTCTGTTCTCCACATGGATATGTTCTCTCCACACCAAGACCTTCTAAAAAGGAATATTTCACTCTACTCTTTGAGGACTTTGCTGTAAAGCACACACAGGGGAAAGCAGGTTCTTGCAGCAGCTCTGATGGCAACTGTACTTGGGGGGCCTTCAGTGTGTGGTGGGAGCTACCAGAATGGCAATTGTGGGCATTTAGGTTTGTACTGCTTTCATGTTACTTTCCTTCTAAGAATTTGAAACGCTGTCTGTTGCTATTATGTTAATAAAGTTGGGGCTTATTTTCTGATTAAAAAAAAAAAGCTGTAAAATAAAACTGAAAACAACATATATGTTTTCATTTTTTCAATAATAATATATGAACAATAGCAAAATCACAGTCATTTGAAACATTGCTAAAGTTGGAAGACAGGTTATATACATTTACTTTAGGTAGTTGCTGTTTGCTCTCTACTCCCTATTGGGATAAAGTAATTTGCTTCACCTCAGTTCCCAGATTGTGTCACAGCAAAGTCTGGCCTTCTCTTAATATAACTCCTGGCCACTGCAATAAAAACTGCCCTGTTGCCTTTTTCCCTCCAAATATACTACAGATTTGAGGGCTGGCATAGAAGAATGTGTTTGCACCCTAGATCAGCACCAACTGTTTCCCAGAACCAAGAGGCTGTTCCCTGCCAGAGATGTTTCTCCCTGGCCACAGCTCTCTGCTATGTTCCTCATGCTCCTCTTTCTTCCCAGCTGTTCCACCACAACCCCAAACTTTCTATTTATTTTGTCATATAAAGCACTGGCACTCCAACTACCTCCCTCCACTAGCGTCTCTCCTGAGTCCAAATCTGTTTGCAGGCTGACATTTGCACATTCAGAACCATTCTAAAATAGTAAGAGTCACTTACTCCCTGTCCCCATCCCTAGCCATACAAAGAAGCAAAAAGAGCTCTAAAATTAGGAGCATTGTTTTATTTGATTCATTACAGGGGTGGGGTTTTTTGGTTCAGTTCAACTTTTTTTGTTTACATCTCCCTCACTCCAAGTAAGCTATATCTGGGTTCGATTTGAACACAGAGCTCTTGCCCTGTGCTGACCAAGAACAAGTCCCAGTGGTGAGCATTTCTTAGCATGTCTTGCCATTGCCTAAGGTCTCTCTGAAATGTGGCTAATAAGTCAAGACATCTGAATAATTATAGTAACAATTATGTATTGAAAGGTTGCAACGTGCGAGAGATCAGGCTCACCCTCAAAACAACTCTACAAGGTAGACGTTACCGTTACTACTTTATAGATACTGGTGTATAGATAAGCAAAATGAGGATAGAGAAGTCAACAGGCTTTCTAAATTGCAGAGATTCAATAAGAAAACTTGAATCTCCAGTTGTCTGACCTCAAAGGCATCACTCCTTCTATGACATCAAATTTAATTAAAAAGCAATAATGGGATTGAGAGTCCAGTTCGTTTCCTTTCTCCCTCCCAGCACCATCTTCCTGAGGGCATGCGGACAATATCCCTTAACCTTTCTATAGCTCAACTGACCCAGTACAACTCCATCCTTAGCGCATAAAAGTTATCCTGTGAGTGCAGCCTCTACCAGATACAGCCTGAACCCCGCATCCTGTCAACTAATCACAGCAGGATCCTGCTCTACACAGCAGTGTGCAGTCCTGAAATAAACTCCACAGCTAGATTCAAGAATGCGTTGATAATTCCCTTGGGTAGAACACTTTGTGATACTTGGACCTTGGGTTCTTCGTCTGTTAAGCCAGGTTTCTGGGTAATCTCTAAGAGCTTTCAGTGTTTTTTATTTGGTGCATATCATTTGCCTATAGGTAGTTGTTCATTCTGTTTTCCAAGATCTTTGTTATGAGAAAGTTCTAGGTAGGTACTCTTGGGCACTTCACAAGGAAAAAGGTATTCTCAGTAAAAGCCCAGTAGGATTTATATTGAGTGGGCACAAGAAGATCCCTTCCTATGAGACAGGACGATAAAGAAAACAAGAAGCTCAGGGCCCTGTTCACCACGACTTAACACATTAGGTTGAACCTATGATATTCCTGATACCCAGACATTTCTTATTTACAAAAATAGCAATTTCATGTAGGTGAACTTGATCATAAGCTAATGATATCTATCACAATAATCATAATAATAGTTCATATTTGGTAGGGGCTTACCCTGTGCTGGTCTTTGCCGTGAGAGCGAATTATGGCAAGCCTGGGATTGACCCAACTTGTTTTACTGAAATGAAGAAATGTGGCTGCACGATACTAACTCCTGCCCAAGGCATGAGCACGCTGATTAATCGGCTTGCTTTGCAACTATGACTCTGAGGCATTCAGGGCCAGTGTGTACCGGCTTGTTAGCATTGTTTATCAGTAAGAGAGAGACAGATGATTTGTACCTAATCACGGAGAGATATCATCACCCCATTTTACTACAACCCAAAAGGGCTTTGCTGTTGAGATGCTAAGTAGCAAAAATATGCCTCAGTGACCAGCAGGTTATAAGAAACCCTCGCTAGGACTCCATGTTGGTGCCCCCATTTCTGTGGTATTTCATCCACAGGTTAATGGTTCTTGATTTGAGAGAGACAGAGCCTGCTTGGGTTCTTCCAGAGGGAGGATGGTTGGAGCTCACTGCTATCTTCTCCTCTGTAAGGCAGCAGTTTCTGGTGCTAACGCATATCTTCCTTTTAATGCTGTTTCTATATTGTATCCTTCCACTGAAAAATACTATAAATGTGTAAGTATGGCCATCTGGGGTCCTGAGTCGTCTTCGGCAATTGAAACTGTCTGCTTGCTGCCGTTAGTACATACACATTTTACATACTAATCTTTTGGTCCTGCACAATAACTCCTGAGATTGGTACTTATTATCTCCATTTTATAGAGGAGGAGGCTGAGGCACAGAGTGCTTATATGACTTCTCTCAAAACACACTGAAAATAAGGAATGAAGCCAGGATTTCATCTCAGGCAAAAAGGAGGGAATGATTGCATGAAAAGCACATCTGAAAGACATCAAATAATCTGAGGCTTAAGAAAACGAAACTATAGAAGTAAAAATAATAAGAAAGAAAGAAAACAGGCTCGGCGCCTGTGGCTCAAGTGGCTAAGGCGCCAGCCACATACACCTAAGGTGGCGGGTTCAAATCCAGCCTGGGTCCACCGAACAACAACGATGGCTACAACCAAAAAAAAAAAAAATAGCCGGGCATCGTGGTGGGCGCCTATGGTCCCAGCTACTTGGGAGGCAGAGGCAGAGACTCACTTTAGCCCAGGAGTTGGAGGTTGCTGTGAGCTGTGATGTCAC